TTAAAACATTTACTGATGAGGATCAAAGAGCATTAGGTATGGATTACATCTCAATGTAAAGAAAACAAATATCCTCACCACTGGACCAATAAACAACATTCTTCTCAACAGAGAAAAGATTGAAATTGTCAAGGACTTCATTCTTGGATCAACTATCAACACTCACGAAAACAGCAGTCAAGAAATCAAACGACGTATTGCATTAGGCAAATATGCTGCACAAGACCTTTTTAAAGTGTTGAAGAGTAAACATGTCAGCCTGAGGACTAAGGTGCACCTGACCCAAGCCATGGCATTTTCAATAACCTCATATGCATGTGAAAGCTGGACAGTGAATAAGGAAGACCGTAAAAGAATTGATACTTTTGAGTTATGGTGTTGGAGGAGAATATTGAAAGTGCCATGGGCTGTCAAAAGAACCAATAGATCTGTTTTGGAAGAAGTACAGCCAGAGTGCTCCTTGGAGACCAAGATGGCCAAACTTCATCTCTCGTACTTCGGACATATTGTCAGAAGGGACCAGTCACTGGAGAAGGATATCATGTTTAGTAAGTTGGAGGGTCAGAGAAAACGAGGAAGACCCCCAATGAGATGAATTGGCCAAGTGGCAGCATCGATGCCACTGGTAGTGAGATTGGCTCTGGAACGGCAGTGTTTCGTTCTGCTGTGCATAATGTCTCCATGAGTCGGTACCATCTCTATGGCACCTAACAACAACAACCAAGTAGGGACTATGATATAATGTAAATATGAGGGACCTTTAAAAAAAATTGTGGGAAAATGGAATGAAAAGATAATGGGATTTTCTCACAAACTTTCAAAGCCACCTCATAGTTCATAGACACTTTTGAGAGGAAATGTTGTATTTGGTTGCCTGAATCAAATTGCATGAATTAAAATTCCGGTATCTGGACATACTAGTTCCTTATGATGTAAGTAACTTAATTCATCTCTTTGTGTCTTGACTTCCTCATCTGTAAAATGAGGATAATGATAGTATCTCCATCATTGTAATATGATAGGATTTGGTGAGTTAATAAGTGAAAGACATTCAGAACCATCCCCATCAATTAATCAGTCCTCTATTTGTGTTAATATTACTTTTATTATTTCTTTTGATATTGACTTTACTGAAAAAGTATAATTGCGTGACCAGAATGTATGCATTTCAATGTGAGCAGAATGCATGCTTGTTAATGTTTGTATCAGAGCACATGTTGTTGTTGTTGTTAAGTGCCGTCGAGTCGTTTCTGACCCATAGCGACCCTGTACAGGGTTTCCGAGGCTGTAAATCTTTATGGGAGGAGAACGCCTCATCTTTCTCCCACGAAACAGCTGGTAGTTTCGAACTGCTGGCCTTAAGGTTTGCAGCCCGATTCGTAACCACTATGCTACCAGAGCTTCTTATCAGAGCACATGTTGTTGTTGTTGTTAAGTGCCGTTGAGTCGGTTCCGACCCATAGCGACCCTATACAGGGTTTCCGAGGGTGTAAATCCTTACGGGAGTAGAAAGCCTCATCTTTCTCCCGCAGAGCGGCTGGTAGTCTCGAACCGCTGACCTTAACGTTCGCAGCCCGATTTGTAACCACTACGCTACCAGAGCACATAGCACATGCTAATTTGTGTTTTTATATTTTATCAGTGTAAGAGTTTCTGATTAGTGAAAGTTATTCCAAGTTCAACAAATTGCATGTTTACTTGACTTAATATGGTTTTAAAACATACTGAAAGTCCTGGTGTGGCACTGTGGGTTAATGCGCCAGACTGCAAGTCATTTGAATTGCAAGGTTGGAGATTCAAGCTCACCACATGCTCCTTGGAAACCCTATACAGGGTCACTATGGGTTGGGACTGACTCGATGGTACTTAACAACAACAACAACAACTCATCTCAAGGTTAGCTGTTGAAACCACCATCCGTTCCTTGTAAACCCTATATAGCAGGGTCACTGTGAGTCACAACTTACTCTCTGGCACTCAACAACATACTTTTTTATTATTTGTGACTTAATTCATTTAGTATATCTTTGTATTCGCAATTTGTTATTTTTTTAATTTATTTTTTATTGTAGGACCAAACGATCTCAAGTTCCTATAACTGAAGGTATATTTGAACTTCCAAATCTCACAATTCAAGCTACTAGAGCACAGACTCTTCTGCTACAAGCAATATATCAAAGTTGGTCTCATACTGGAAACATTAGCTCCTCAACAGTGAATGAAGCTTTAATGAATGAAGTCTTCCAAAGTACAGGTAAGAGCACCGTCTTCTGGACAAGTATATGGAAATGTCTTATTGGAGGTGACTAATATTTTTTCATTCCATTCCTTGTGTCTAACATGCTCACCGTAAATTGTAGTATGTTTCTGTGAAAGAGTGGGTATTTTCAGCTCATGTTTAAAATCCAGGATATGAGTTAAGCCATCCAGTTTTGTACCTTGGTACCAATTTCTGGATATACTTTATAGCCATAAAATATTGTTTTTACCAAGTACATGTATAATGGACACTTTGGCCTTTCATGAATAACTTTTTAGGCCAGGAATGTTGTATGTTTGAAATGATAACTAAATACAGTATCTTGGATTTTCCTGGTAAAGTGAAATACTGTTTTAGGTTATATTACTTTAAGAGCTGGTAAACATATTTTCCCATTTATGTGAAGGAAAAAAAAAAAACCACACCATTAATTTTTATCTTGTATACTTTTACTACTGAAAAAAATTTCTCTATTGCTGTAAGTATAAGATATAAGAGAGATTATCATCATCTTGTCACTCAGTTTACAGGTAGACAAAACTTATGAAAACTTCGTTACCTTTTAATTATTTCCGTTCAAAATGATGTTAGTATTTAAAGAGTTAAACATAGACTTATTATAAGATCTAGAATTTATAATTCTTGGTATGTAACCATGAGAATTGAAAACCTATGTTCACACAACATCTTGTACATGAATGGCTAACATCAGTATTATTCATATAGTGAAAAATGTGGAACTAACATAGTTGTCCATCACTTGATCAGTGGATTGCCAAACTGTTAGATCCATAAAATGCAATGTTATCCATTTGAAATAAAGAATGAAATATTAATGCATGTTGCAATACAAATAAAATTTGAAAACCTGCTAAATGAAAGAAATCTGACCACAAAAACAATATATTCAGTATATATGAAATGGCTGATTTTGTGGTTATGTGCCAGTAAGTCAGTTCTGACTTATAACAACCTTCATATGGTTTCCGAGGCTGTAAATCTGTACAGGAGCAGAAAGCCTCATCTTTCTCTTGCAGAGCCGCTGGTGGATTCAAACTGCTGACCTTGCAGGCAGCAGCCTAACATAGAACCCACTATGCCACTAGAGCTTCTTCCAAATGCCTATAACAGACAAATCCATAGAGACAGAAAACAAGTGGAGGAATTAGGAGGTGAGAGTCAGTTCTAATGGGATTCAGGGTTTCTTTTTGGAAATGTCCTAAAGTTAGTGGTAATGTTTACAATTATTAGTTGTTTCCATTTTGTGAATGAGTTTATCTCTGAGGCTGCAAGAAGATATCGATGTGAATATAGAATTAGGTGTTCTTTTGTGTTACAACAGTATTAGTAAATTTTCCTCTAGCTAAAAGCAAAAAGCAGTTCATAGAATATGAAATAAAAATTTAAAAAGTTCTATGGTTGCTTCTTAAAAAAATTTCTTTTATATGTGAAATCTTATTAATGTGCATGCTACATATATTTATTTGTATAGTGAAAACCAACCACTTACGTCAGGCATTAAGACCATTTTCACTTTTTAACAATTAAAATATAATTGAAATAATTGAGGTGTAGCATGAAGATATTGTTTCCTAGAGAAGACACTTGATTTCATTGAGTGTCAGTTAATTTTTTCATGTGAAAATGATGATGATATTTTCTTTATATAATAGTCAAGTTCTTGGAAAAGTTCCATTGTCTTTTCATCTCATTTTCCCATGAACTTTTGTAGCACCTCCATATGCATTAGGATAATAGATGTTTTTGGAGTTGATTTGCTTTTCTTGTCCTGAACTTAGAACCCTGCTGGAATCATCCATATTGGATATATTATTAGTGGAGTCAGTTCTAGGTCATAAGGTTCTTTTTTTTTTTTTT